ACAGAAATACGAGTTGTGAGTATAACAAAACGCTGCCGTCCCCAAGAGTCGCGGCACCAAGCGCCCCGTGGGCCGGTGAAACGGGCTATGGAGCGACGCCGGAGCAGAACAGCGGGACGGAGAGGTCAGGTCGTCTTCGTGAGCCTGAGGGTGAGAGTTTTAACCTGGAGAGACCCCGCAGGCTGCTGGTACGGGAAATATAACCCTGCGAGATCAGCGCTGCAGGAAACGTGGGGCCCACTGGAAAAAGTGCGGATCCTGCACTTTTTTTTTGCTTTTTCGACGGAATCCAACTTTAGAAGGTTGCGGGGTGTTGGGCTGTTGCTTTGTTTTCTTTTTTTTTTTAATTTTTTTTCGTAGAAGTTTGCATTTCTTGTGTCAGTGTGGGACCTTTACAATATGGTACGTTTTTCTGAGGAGGATAACCAGCAGTCAGACAGCAAGAGTGTGAGTGTCTGTGATGGCTCTGGGGAGCAGGATGTGTTTCAGAGCCCCAGCTGGACGCTGGAGATCGTGGCTGGGCTGAGCTGAAGCTGGCATAGCCAAGGCTTCTGTGGGGATTCTGTTTGCACAGCGTGGGGAGCACACTCTTCCGTCGCAGAAGATAGTTTTTTTAGGTCCTGTGGCGTTACAGGGTGTGGGAGGGACTGTTTCATTCCTCCGTGCTCTCCAGTTTTCTTCCACCTCATGTGGAAATACACTGGAATATCTGCTGCCCAAGACAAACAACTGTCATCTGAGAACTTGAGAGAGTCATGAAGAAACAACGTTGGGTTTTTTCTTCCTGTTACAGATGGTACTGTCACAGTAGTTTAGTGGACTGTTGAAATGTCCCTTTTGCTTGCTGTTGCTTTTTTATTATTTTTTTCCCTAGCTGCTCAGTTTGATTGAAAACTTTTCCTTTGTGCTCTGGTTTGTTGTTTTTTTCCTTCTGATCACAGAGGCTGGAAGTGCTTGGACTGGCTGGGGCCCTTCTGGTGCGTTTTCCTCTCTAATGCAGGAGAACCTGGCGAGACGTGTTCTCTGCAACTTACCCTGTCTCATCTCAGAAGTCCACAGTGGGGAGGGCTTCCACTGTGCCACCTGAGAAACGGTTTGACTGTTGAACAGACCTCTCTGTCTGGCATGCTTCCCCTGCTCCGTGGCAAATCCGTTCCAGGGAACCTCCCCTGATCTCGGGGATGAGTTGGTCTCACTCCAACCCCGCTTTCCTGTCGAGGATTTAATTCCTTCCTTTGGGCCGTTCTCCTATTCGATCTCTCCCCCTTCGTTAGCCTTTGGAGCCGTTGGAGATCTCATCCCCTTAGCGATGTCACTGCTTAGTAAGTGATCTGTGTTAGCTCATCTTGACCTTTCTAAACCGTTTTATTTCTCCTGTGCAGCTCTGCCTTTCCTTGATTACCCAAACGTGCTATCAGAGCAGCCTGACTGCATGGAGCAGGCACTGCACGCCCTGAGTCGTGGAATCATAGAATGGTTTGAGGTGGGAGGGACCATAAAGATCATCTAGTTCCAACCCTCTTGCCACGAGTTCACTAGACCTGGTTGGTTCAAGCCTCATCCAGCCTGGTCTTCAACACTTCCAGAGAGGAGGCTCCCACATCTTCTCTGGGCACCATTTAGTTCACGCTCGTGCACTCTCTTCCACCTCAGGCTGTAGATACCTGCCCAGTCTGGGAATTCCCGTGGGTCATGGCTCGCTCGGGCAGGCGTCTCTCGCTGTGCCTGCGCATATGGCTTCCTGTCAGGCAGCCCCAGTGTGCTGAATAGCTCCTGAAGAATTTATCTTTGCCCTTTTCCCTCTGGCCAAAACAAATTTTATTTTCTTGCTCTTGCCCCAAAGGAACTTCTTAATGTTATTTTCCACACTTCCACATTAAGTATTATCACCAAGATAAGCTTCCCCTTCTGTATCTTCCCCGTGAATGTTCAGTAAAAGCAGGGGAAGCCAGTGGGACACTCCTTAGTTTCCTACCTTCTTAGTGTTGCTCTGTGACTGTCCTTCTGGTGCTTTTACTTGTTCTTGCTCGACAGAGCAGTCAGCAAAATCTGTGATATCAGTCCTCCACCCCCAGTTCTGTACAGCCAAAATGCCGCCCGCTTGGCATGGCAGCAGGGACGATCCTGCACCCTTCACCTTCCAGGATTTCAGAGGTTTTTCCACGTGTTTTTCCTGTGGTCCCTGAGCTGAATTAGCTGGTAGCTGCTGCTTCACCTGTGCCTCTTTGGAGGGGTGGCAGGGAGGGGGCCAGTTGGAGTAGAAAAGATGATGGCATCAAAAAGGCTGGCTGTTAACTCCTCTAGCTCCTGTTCCAGTTGTTCTCTAACTTTTGACAATCTCTTGCTGCTGCTGGGCGACATAGTTCAGGAGAAAACGGCCTCGTGGTTCGGCTGCCATTTGTGTTTGGGTGAGATGAGGGAGAACAAGGCTCTTTTGAGCTGCGCGTGGCTGAGGAGATAAATCCTGTCTGTGATCTGTTGGGCAGTACGGGGCTGGAGCCAGAGCCAGGGGATTCCTTGGCTGGGATACAAATTCAGGAAAGGAGAATAGAGAGACTGGGGAAAAGGGAAGAAGAGAAAGTGAGTCTAATCGAAAGCGGGAAGAGCTGCTCTGCGGGAGAAAGTGATGGGCAAGAAGCAGGAGCCAGAAGGAGCGGTGTGGGCGGGAGGGTTGGTGGAAGAGGGCAGCTCCACCGCTCCGCCAAGGCTTGTGACGTGGAGATAAGCAGCAGCAGGTTAATCTGTAGCGCGGCTGAGTGTGGTAGAAAGCTTCCACGTGTGCAAGGCTGGAGGCTTCAAATGGCCAGGGACCACGTGAGGACAGGGCGATGCGTGAAGAAGGGGTGGCACACGCGCTGTAGGTAACACCAGGGTTGCAACAGGTTAAAACAGGTGAAGCAGGGGTGGTGGGGAGAAAATTAGGGTCTGTGCATTTCTAGGGAGGGAGAGAGCTGTACAAAGTTTTTCTTGCTACTCTCCTTCAGTTGGGGAAGCCGCATCTCTGTACTTAGGTCTACTGGGTGTATACTGGAGTCCTGAACGAGCCAGCTGCAGTCTGTTTCTCTCTGAAAGCAGGCGGGAACAGGATTCCTGCAGCAGCTGCCTTTAGTTCTGCTTTAATAGTATCTGGGATGTGCTGGTTGAGAAGGGTAAAACTAGGAGTTGCTGATAGCATTGCGTTGCCTACTAAGTTTTTGTGTGTCCGGCACTTTTTTGTGAAGGAACTGGTGCTGCAGCTGAGAAAAACAGGTCCAGTAAGCCAGTCCTAGCTGCTTCGTACATCGTCATCTCCCTGTCTCGCTTCAGAGGCTGGAGGTGGATGTGTCACGAGTGTTTGAGGAAGGCTGTGAATTGCCCCCCTGTAAAATTTCAGTGTGCTGGTACCCTGCAGCCAGGCTAGTTTTGAGGAAGACAGCCAGAAGCAACCGGCTGTGGGACACTGGAAGCCACTGATGCCGTCCAAAGGCAGCGAGGACGAGCCAGAGACTGGATGTCAGGATGCTGGAGGTGTGGATGAGACCCAGTCCACCGAGCAGATCAATGTGTCACGTCTGCGCAGCTCTTCGGTGGAGATCCGCGAGAAGGGGTCCGAATTCCTGAAGGAAGAGCTGCACAGAGCACAAAAGGTAAGACCCAGCAGCTTGAGACAGGCAGCGCTGGCTGCAGAGCCTCCCTGCTAACAGCAAATGAACGATTCCAGCCTGAAAAGCCTGCTGCAGCTCATGGGAGGGGTGCCTTTGGTGCCATGAAGCATGGGACAGAGGTCAGCGACAGGAATTTTGGGCTGGGGAACCATGCTGAGGTGGGGAGGAAGGGTTGTGGTTGGCAGGTGGGGGGCAGGGAGGGGGCGGGGGCGGCGGG